CTGTGGATGAATTCTTTCCATCAGTGTCAAAATGATATTCTGATTGGTGGTTTGGAACATTTTTCATTTTTCCATATATTGAGGATAATCATCCCAACTGACTTTCATATTTTTCGATATGGTTAAAACCACCAACCAGTATTAGGTTGGAATGAAACATGCGGGATGTTGGTGAAACGAATGAAAACTGCTCCCAACTGTGCCCTGGGACATGGCTGTAGATTGCCCAGTGAAGATTGAGGGGATTGTCCTCCATGAAAATTGGGAATCCTGCAGCTGAGAGCCAGGCAGGCATTTGATTTATGATAAATTGATATACATCATGACATGAATGAATCATATGGATTCATATGGTTATAACTTATAACTTATAGGCCAATGACAAGTCACTTAGGACACATAGTCGAAAACATCGTAAAAAACATGGGGTTCAGAATGGGACTATTGATGTCCTGAGGTGGTCGTGCCTGGAGTGCTTTTAGAACAGATGGGCAAGGTGAAGGCCGGTCGTCACCCATGAAGGCATGATATCAATGGCCCCAGCGATTGATTGGAGGTAGCTACCAACAAAAAAAGGCCTAGAAGAAAGGCCTACTTTTTTGGCCTAAGGGAATATCCCCACAATTTCTATGGTCTTATATGGTACAGTACTTCCATTTTAGGATCCTGGAATTCCCATTGATGTAATGCATGTGAACATATTATATATTTAATATCAGGCTACGATTGATTATCATGAAAAAACAGTATCATCATCAGTATTATCTCAACATATTATATATATAGTAATATGATACCAGTGTATTACTATTACTACAATATAAAGTACTATAAATATTCTTGATATAGATTGATATAGTATAAATTACTATATTGTTCTACAGTATATAACTACTGTATGAATGAATCCCAGTTCTGACCAGCGTTGACCCCGCCTTACTTCGGCTTGCCAGGCAGGTCCGGAGCCAGAGTCGCGCTTCATGTCGCGCAAGGAGTACGTCTTGCTGGCTGAAGCCGAGGCTTCAACCAGGGTTTTGAACACTGCTCAAACGAAGCATGGAATGAAACGCGATTGTTTCGAGATCTCATGCAACATATACCTGATCCATCCTGATCCTAGGTTCAGTGGAATGGCTAAGCTGGGCGATTATATTTTGTGTGAAGAGAATGTAGTGCTTCTTTCTCGTAGAGTCGGATGCTGTGATGCCGTGATCTTTTCCCCCCTCAAATCTGCGCTTTAAGGGGACCGCCAAGTGGGGAATACGCGGATACTATCCGCGTGGGGAGTGGAAAATCATGAGAGCTCCATATATCCAACGGTTTCCATCATTTGTCCTCCTTTGATATCCTTCTAAGATGACCACTTCGAGACAGTTGCAGATTGTTGGACAATGGTGGGCTCAACCACTTACTTGGGCTACGGAAATCTTTCAACACTATTACTCCGCACCCCCCAAACCCATTCGACCGTCAAAGTGTGCTGAACATGTTTCTAAAAAGGTCCTTTAATGGGTTAACACTATAGCTGGTTGGTGGTTTGGAACATTTTTTATTTTTCCATATATTGGGAATAATCATAATCATCCCAACTGATTAATATTTTCCAGGGGTTCAAACCACCAACCAGATAGATCAACCGAAACGTAAAACATGTCCGAATTTCTGGAGGTCGTCCTCGCCACGGCTCGCCACGGATCGCCGCTGCCAGGTGCCCACCGAAGCCAGTTTCCGGAAGGGCGCGCCGGCGGCCTCAAGCGATAGTCAGGCGGGCCGTGAAGCATCCACACCCAAGTCATGTTGATTTATACACAATTGTAGATAGATATATCCGACACGGTCATATATCTCAGTCATATGTACATATTATATCAATATTGTTGTAATACTGATTTAGACTAGAGTATCCGACACAATTATTGTAATAAAACCATGATCTAAAACTATCAATAATGATAAGGTTATGATAAAACCATTATGATCTATAACTATAGTTATGAATATCATGACATGATTTAGTTTTGCTTTGCCTTGGCCTTTCTGAGATTGCACAAAACCTTCATAACTGATAGGGGAGGACCCTATACCGATATCTGATTTGTGACACCTCCCGGAGTACTGAATCCGCACAACCGATAGGGGACGACCCTAATTTGTACATGGCATGAAGTTTAGGAAATGATTTTTTCCACTGCTCTCATATAATATATGTATGTATATGTATGTATATGTACGTATATGTAGGTATATGTAGGTATATGTATGTATATGTATGTATATGTATGTATATGTATGTATATGTATGTATATGTACGTATATGTAGGTATATGTAGGTATATGTATGTATATGTATGTATATGTATGTATATGTATGTATATATGTATGTATATGTATGTGTATGTATGTATATGTATGTATATGTACGTATGTGTATGTATATGTATGTATGAGTATGTATATGTATGTATATGTATGTATAAGTATTTATATGTATGTATATGTATGTGTATGTATGTATATGTATGTATATGTATGTATATATGTATGTATATATGTATGTATATATATACATGTATATGTATATGTATGTATATGTATGTATATGTATGTATATGTATGTATATGTATGTATATGTATGTATATGTATGTATATGTATGTATATGTATGTATAGGTATGTATATGTATGTATATGTATGTATATGTATGTATATGTATGTATATGTATGTATATGTATGTATATGTATGTATATGTATGTATATGTATGTATATGTATGTATATGTATGTATGTATATATATATATATGTACATGTATAAATGCATGATTATGTGCGTATGTATGTATGTATGTCTGTCTGTCTGTCTATCCAACCAACCATCCATCTATCTATCTGCCTATCTATCTATCTATCTGTCTATCTATCTATCTATCTATCCATCTATCCATCTATCCATCTATCCATCTATCCATCTATCCATCTATCCATCTATCCATCTATCCATCTATCTACCTACCTACCTACCTATCTATCTATCTATCTATCCATCTATCTATCTATCTATCTATCTATCTATCTAATCTATCTAATCTAATCTATCTATCTATCTATCTATCTATATCTTCTACCTATATACATCTCTTTGTACAAATATAGTTGTAAGATTGAAGTGAGGTCCAAAGCTGGGGGAAATAAACTCTGGGTAAATCGTCGCGTGTCCCAAGAGGAAAGTAGTCTAAATCAACCCCCAACTCATTGCCGAGTCATCATATTTGTTGGCAAACCCAATGCCATAAAACCTCCAATTGGGGTCGGTGTACGATTGCCCGCCCCACTGCATTTTTGGCAGTTCACTGGGATTGTTTCTGACTGTTTCACCACATTCAAATACCAGAAATCATTCAAACACAACCATTCCAATCTCTTGAATCTCACATTCGTTGGTGGAACGTACCTCATGTTTTCATCAGCATTCCAGTAAGTCATAAAGAACAGATAGAAACATATGTGGGGGTTTCCTAAAATGGGGGTACCCCAAAATGATCAAACATGGAAGGTTTATAATGGAAAATCCCATCAAAACGGATGTTAAAATGGGGTATCCCCCCATTTTAGGACACCTCCATGTAAACATATATAAACCAATGTAAACCATTGATATCCCCCATGAAATCCCCATGAAATCCATAACCACAGGTCGGTCCCTTGTTGTTTCCAAACGGCTGAAGCGCCAGTTTCCAGGGCGCTGGTGGCGGTGATCCGCCCGCGGCACCGCCCAGTGGAGCTGGAGCTCCTCCTGAGGCGATTTTTGGAGCGATGATCACTATAGAGCGGATTATAATAACTGACATAGTTGGTATTGTAGGTATAATCACCAACAAAATCACCCAGTGATTATCACTATAGTTGGTGGTTAAATCACTGGGTGACATAAAATTCCCCAATCAGGCGATACTTCCATATGTGCACATCTACTATATGCTGGTTGGTGGTTTCAAACATGAATTTTATTTTCCAGAATATATGGGATAATCCTTCCCATTGACTTTCATATTTTCAGAGGGGTTGAAACCACCAATCAGATAACTATGGTGATATATTTGATAGTGATTATAGATAGGGATTTCTCTCTTACGGGTGATATGATGATCTAGAAAAAAATCTATTATCACTATCTATAAATGTTTGGATAGTGATAATCATACTAATCATATACATTTATAGATCATATAGATAATATATCACCTGGATATATGATATTAATATGAATTATATGAGTCATCAGAGTATCCATGATATATGAGTACTTCCATGATACACTGGATGATAGTAATCAGCTGGATCGAATGGAGATAATCATACTGAACTGGATGCCGATTTTGATATCATTGTAAATCGTTGACTGGGGATAGTTAGAATGGAACATGGGATATCAATGTGGATGGATTGGAGATATAGTGGATAGAATGGAGATATGATGGTTTCTACCACCCATTTATCGTGATGTTGGTGGGATATACGGTAATCTGATAGAACCATCTCCAAACGGTTAATAATTCTGATAATGGGGATATCAGTGAGATATAAATCTGGATATTGTTGAGATACTGAGATACCTTCTAGTTATTTAACATAGCCAATGTACTAGAATTTTCGAGCACAACCATATCATTGGGATAGACATCTGGATGTGATTTGGAGATGGAATGGACATGGTGATTTAAGGATGATTTAAGCATCATTTACATTATAATGGGGAGATAATGGAGATATCCTCTAGTTATTGAACATAGCTTTGGACGCCATGGTCTATTTATAGATGATTTATGATGATTTGCCGCTTTCTTTTAATGGTGAGTTTCCAAAACTACATTAAATAACCTATGGTGGAAATGGTGATTTAATGATGAATATTTACAGTAACCATCATTTATTGGTATAACTGGGATATAATGGGGATGTAACGGTATTTCCCATGCAATTGGCAATTTTTTAGTGATGATATTCGACTACCTGATGAATTTGATCATGACCTCACGGCGTGACGTCACTGGAATGATGGGAATCGGATTCGGGGAATCCCCAAATGGCTGCAAGTTTCAGCGAATTTTACAAAATCGGCCAGATTTATTGGAGACATGGGGATAAAATGGGAATATGAGCAACAATACCCTCTGGTAATTCAACATAGCTATTGAAAATGACCATTGATAGTGGATTTACCCATTGATAATTGTGATTTTCCATAGTTATGTTAGTTTACCAGAGGGTATATGATTTTGGCTGTGTCTGAAAACGCGGTATAGATGTATAGTATATCCCGGGAAATAGCCATTTTAGCAGGGAAGAAGATAAAGAATGAGTGGATGGAATGGGGTACCCAATTTTCAGACAACCGCAAATCGTGGATTAACATGGATTAACCAGGAAACTCATTCGACAATCTATTTTTTTTATAATTTAGATGTTGTGCTAGGAATCTATGATGCCACGTTTTCAGGTTGAAATCCTTCTCTGCAGGAGCATAGTAAGTGACACCCCCTGAGCAGTCCATAAAAAAAATCAAGAATTGCACCATTTACACCTAGGTTCTGGCACAGGCTAATTGTGAATTATAATTCCTTTGATGCTCATCCACATGTCTATGAGGTTTCAACTTGATTTCCTCGGATTTTTTTTTGCCACCTTCCATTAGATCTATTATTGTTTTTCATGACCCGTTTGACCTTGAATTTTGGGCACGGCAGTTGGGTTGATTTAGCTGATGTGAATTGACACTCTCATTTCCTTGCATCTTTTTGATGTTCATTGAACAGATTCAGGTTTACAAGCAAAGGTTAGAAATGTTAGAATCAAACAGTTTGCTGGTACAGAAAGGACCACCCAGCTAGAATTAAGTTGCTTAATAAAACCCCATTGGACCATAGATATCTCCACTCCAAATCCAACACTTAGCCTGGTTATAAGTGATAAACATTTATAATAGACAAATTTACATACTATAGAGGGGCCCCCTTCCTGTATCAATCAAAATCAAGCGGTGCCGCCCCTTTTTACCTTCTTGTCTTTGGCCTTTCTATGTTTAATTTGACCCAAAGTTCCCGGAAGCATTCTGGATCAACCAAAATCTGTTCAATTTGTATTATATCCTCCATTACTAATCATTACTATCCCCACTACCGGTAATCAAATGTGGCTTGAACATCCTCCAGCAGTTCCCTATGCATTTCCCAGCAACTCAGTTGGCAGGCCACTGGCCTCCCACAGATTCCAGGAGCAGGTGCAGCCGGGGCGAACGGAGGATTTAGAGTTGAAAAAATCACCAAGGTCAATTATGTAGTGTTCAAGATATTCTTCGAAAGCTGTGATGAAGAATTTTTAACATGACATTGAAGCATCAAGGATTTGAAAAATTGATTATATGATAGATATGACATGACACGACATGATACGATATGATATGATATGATTATTTAACCAAGGTCATTTCTCTAAAGATGAAGGATCATGGAGGTTTCAACAGCAAGTAAAACTGATGCTGGACTTGGGTTCTTCGTTATCATCGATGATATTTTCGTCTCATTTGTGTAAAGCCTTGGTTTTCAGTGGAATCATGTGTATGTCAAATTTTGAGAAACACTGACATGGGGACACATATATACTATATAACCAGTTATAACCAGTTATTTATACGTTTTTCTTTTGGAAGCTATACGTATAGATGTTCGTCATGTAAAGGGTGAGAGCATGAGCCATGGCTTCAGCTGTGGGTCGTGCAGGGCGCGTCACAGCGGTTCCAGCTTATCCAGGAGGGCCAGCGGGCGGTTTTTGCGCCATGGCCTCTACATCTAAGGGCTGTTTTCAGGGGAATCATAATCATGTAAAGGTATGTAAAGGTCATGTTATTCATGACCAAATGAATGATAACCATAGATTTTTGATTTCGAAAAGAATCTGGGGGTCATTTTCAGGATGAATATTGATAACATATGATTAACGAAGCAAATTGATTGAAACAAATGGGATGATCTGTACCAGACATAAATCCAGAGCACTGTATCTAATCACTTCAGATGGGACCCCCCAAAAAAACAACTATCCCACACTCCCCAGAGTTAAAGCCCATTTACCAGTTATGAATGGTTATAAATTATAAATGGTGTTATCATTCCATAAATGGGGTGACTTACTGACTAACAGTAATGGGCTATAACTGTCGTGTGGTTTCGGTCATGGACCGTATGCCTTTAGCTTTGATGACTTCCACTGGCTCGGACTCAGAGAAGTAGAATGTTCACGAGTCAAAAATGAGAAGAGCCTGTTCAGATCCAGTGTAATACATATATACAGTATTTACGCCTGAATCCATGATGAATGTACATATAACATCATATAACTATATATATATAACATGTATGGCACATACATACATACTTATATAAAGTATATATATATACATGTATATATATATACACTGTATATATATATATATGTATTCAATTATAGAAGACACAGGCAATGTCCAAAGCTTTTCTGATGTTGTCCTGGCTTCCGGCGATCCTGCCAGGACAGCCGACACTTGGAAGCCAAGATCTACGAACTACGAAGATGGGTGGTAAACATGCTGTGGATGGACACGCCATAATTCTACATCACTTTCAAGTCAAAAAAAATGTTTTCGGTACTTATCAGATTCTTTCTGTCCCAGAAAGTCTTAATCTTACAATAAATATTAATGAACCAGTGTAAATTTCATGGGATGTTTAATGGGATAAACAACCATCTACCAACTGGTGCAGGATTTCGCAACCATCCACAGTGGCACTGCGAAATTCCAGAAATTGTTCTACTGTAGAACAACCCTCCGATAATCAAATATGGCGATTTGTAGAATGTTTGGTGCTGAGAAAGTCTATTCATCTTCGTAGAGTACATCAACAGTCTCATGTCGCGACGTAACTGGAAATGATAATTACTATAGTTACGTACTACAGGGAAGCATCCAAACAATCCGCTGATTTAGGTTGGAAATACTATACTTTGCCCAGACTTAATGGATAGATGGAGGATAGTTGCGGATTCCCAGGTGAGCTGGAAAAAGCCTTTCCTTTTCCTGGATGACTTTCCTAATTGCTGGTGTTCCATTGCTGTCCCGGGTCACAGCACAGCCATGTTAGTTCAGATCTCCGGAGTTCTTCGGTGGTGGAAACTTATTGTTACTTATTGTTACACACATTGTTGCTATTGTGGGCATCGCTGTTATTGTTGTTGTTTCTCATTATCATTAAACATTAATGTTATTTCATTGTAACTATCATTATTATATATCATTATTGTTGCTACTTATTGTCATTATCATGGTCCCATGTTCCCTTGGGAAGTTCGACTGGTCGCAACTGGTCGTCCAAGGAAACCGGGAGCGGCAACGTCGCAAAAGGCACCCGGTTGGGGTCAGAAAGCGCGGTGGTCCAAATTTAGCCAATTTAGCCGTGAAATCTGGTATGGGCATTTTTTGTGGGGCAACCCAATGCCATAAACCCATATAAACCCTACCATGACTGGGGGATGGTTTATACGACCCATTTACGTCGTATGGTGATGACTTGGGATGGTGATGACTAGGCATTGGGTTTAGCGCATGATTGGCGCAGACTGCAGGCTGTTGGTGAACATTCCAGTTGAAGCCCAGCATTGTTTTACAAAAGCACTGCTGCAGGTGGCCCAAAAGGGCCCAAGATCCACTCACCTGCCTACTTCACAGATGCAGAAAAGACTTGGGGCTGTGCCTAAGCACATGCTGTTATGTATATTATATATATACATGTTTACTGCCATCTGCTTGGCATGTTGAACTGCACTACTTCTTTTCACGATCAATATGAGCATCATCACCCTGATTATGACGATTATTCACATCAGCATGTTTATCTTACTCTTGATCACAATCGGTATAATGACGCTGCTGCTCCTTCTGCTCCTTCTGCTCCTTCTGCGGCTTCTGCTTCTGCTGCTGCTGATGATGATGATGATTCAGGACTATATCATAACTATCATATCATATCATAACATGGTTCTTTTTGTTTATGTTTGCAATGAGAATCCAACCAACAATGCACCAGTTCCATGGATTCGAGGCACCTCCCGCTCCACCAGCACCGGTGCGACGGAAGTATGAGGCACACCGCAGGGTTGGTTCCCCCCCGCGGTGGTGAATACCTTAAGTCACTGGGGAGAATATGGGGAGAATATGGGGACATTTCTGAGCCATTCAGAAAATTCCTGTGGGTTGATTGGTGAATTCATGGGACTTCAAACCTGCCTTTTCGGGGATTAGCCAATAAGCCATAGGAAGGACACCTGAAAATCCAAAGGCCAGGGGTCGGAACGGGAGTTTCTGAGGGTTCACAACAGACTTGACGTAACTCAAGATACCGGGGGGATAAGAACCCAGCCGATGTATGGGGACCAAAAAAAAGGGTGGTTTTCTTATGTTATGTTTAGTATGAATTCATAGACTTTGAGGGAGAATAATTCTGATCCATAGCTGGACTGGATTGGTCCTTGGGATACACAGCCGCATCTATTTTCATGTTTACTCAGGATCGGTGACGTTAACCTTATTTTGTCAGTTCTGTAAACACTGAAACCATATAAACCTTTTCACACTTTTTCGAAATGTTGGGATCATGGGAGGTTTCTATATTTTCTATTGACATCAACCACATTTAACCATGACATTTAACCATCATTAACCCACCTATTTCTGGGTGGTTGAAAAAACATCGCTTCGTTTCAAGCCCCATCACGAGGCGTTGGGCTTCGGCCGCGATCCAAGGCGGGGCTCAGGTCTTTGCGAACCCACAATGACTGCACCGTCTTGTGATGTATTTTCTTAAAACCCATAGGATCCATGGTGCTGGTATATACGCTAACATTTGGGGTATATTGATGGGATCCATGTTACCATATATAGCAGCACCATGGATCCTATGGGAAAGAAAATGGCATATTTCACAAAGTATCAACTAAGAAAATAGATGTAGGTCCGCTAAAATTCTTTTTTTTACACTGCCTCCGCTGATGCGACCCCAATACCCCAATCCTGTTGCCATTTGTTGCCCCAGTTGAATAATTTAAGCGTTCCTTCTGCCGTAAAGATTGGGTTCGGATGGATTTCGAAGACAACGTTGCCAAAAGGGGGATGGTGATTCGCCAAAAGTTGGATCCGTGAAAACCCCAGTTGGGACCCAGTTCATGATGACCGCAGAACATATAACATATAATTTATTTAAAAAAAAATGAATGACACAAATTCCAGTCATAAGAACCCACCAACGGATAATTTACCATGCTCCCAATACCATGGACCGATGGACCCTGAGAAGTGGCCATCTAGATGTTCGTTTTCCAACCCATGGCAGGTCCTGTCAGTTGATCTGGGTGTGTATGTGGTATGCCATGGTATACCAACACAATGACCGTTGAGGTGGGAAATGAATAAAGATATATAAAGATAAGATTAATGATATCATGAGAAATGGCTATGAAATGCTCTGAATACAATCCATATCCCCATGATATTTTCTAAATGATGAGATTTTCTGTAAAACCATCAGGTACTCAGACCCGTCCCGCCGGGCCGCCTTTCACCCCTGGGTGACGGCAGGTACCACGCCCCGAATTTGGGTGGAAACTTGGGCCTGGGCGCTGCGTCTGGAACCTCGGGAGTGAGACATCGGAGGAGTTTGACATCTGGATATATCATGGCCATTGAATAATAAGATACCATGGGGATAATGAAGGATATAACATGATATAACCTATACAATATCGTGTTTTTTTTCCATGGTATACTTGGATAAATTTGATCACGACCTCAAGTTGCGATGTCACTAGAAATGATGCTTGGGAGTTGGGGTAAGTATCCCCAAAGCCTTTATTTCTAGAAAGTGATTTGTTTTGACTTATCCATCCCGGGATGATCGATTGTTTTTTTCAGATCTTTTTCATTGGGGGGTGAAACCACCAAGCAGCATTTTTGTGATGGATTTTAGGAGCTTTTTGTTGAAAACAACAGCAGAAATCTCGGGGTGATGTTCGGAGGCTGAGATCTGCCAGAACCATTTTTTTGAACGGAAAGCGTCAAAGCTGGGTCTTCAGAGGTACCATGGGTTTTCCAAGAACTGGACGAGAAAATGTGCAGGAAAGAGCCACATTAGGGGCCATGGTAAAGCCAGCAGTCCTGAGGCAGCCAGTGCTGGGTGCTACCATGGGGCATGGCCTGGTAAAGAGCTCTTCCAACAAGGAGGTCCCAGGGGTCCTTGGGGGGTTGTGAAGATATAGGAGGTTGTACTAACTTGCCTTGTTTGCACTTATTGGGGATGCTTCTCACCCGGTTTATGAGAATATGTACTAACCAACCAGTATCAACGAGAATGAGATGGGATAGGGGGTATTTTTCATGGCTCAACTGAGTGAAACTCCCCAGATTTATGAATCCTATCCCTCTAACTCATTATATAAACACTTTCCGGAAACCATGGTGGATGATTTGGGATTTTACAAAAAAAATGACTTACACATATGGAAAAGGGACCATTGGGGTGTTTAAGTATGTTTATATCATATGAATGGGGGCCAAAACTGATTCGATGGGTCCTGGAAGATGACTATCCACTGGGCAGAGACTTCGGACATAGCAAATTTGCTGGGATCACATTGACGGTTTTGCTTGTTCAGGATGACCTGACCGGTAGGAAGTCACAGTTTGTGGTGTCACAAAAACACAAGTTTATACAACCTGATGTTTGAACATTAAAATGGATCAGAAAAGGATCAAACAGGTGACCGAAGAACATGTACGGAGTATGGACCTAACACCCTTTTTCGTCGTTCATAAAAGGCACAACTGCCATCGTCACCCGGCGAGGCCTTTTTCTTTCCTCCTGCAGTTCCTGATATGCCGGGTGTTCTGAGGCCAGGGGATGTCATGGTAGAACACCGACCATAGACTAAGGCGGCCTGTTGTTCTGGAGGGGTTTCTCTGGACTTTTTGGTAAATTCATTCTGTGCAGATAAAATTGGAGAAATATCCTAAATGTCCCAACTTGCCCGAACTTAGTCTGTTTCTGCTGTCGGACAGGAATGGATGAGAAAAGGGATATTCCACCATTCTTGGATATGGCTATTGGAAGACATGGCCTATGCTCAATCCATTGCTCCATCATGGTGCCAGACTGGTCCAGACTGAGGATGTTGGAATCAATACGTTTGGATAGATATCGTATTCCTATGTATTCCCAGTATATCCGCAGTATTTTTGGCATGATTCCCCCTTTTTTATGCCAGATGTACCCTCTGGTAATCAAAAGTGGCCTGCTGGAAAAAGTCGCCCATTTGTAGATTCTTTTCCCGGCTAGACATCTCCATTTAGTTCGGGGAATTCCAAGCTTACCACGTTTGAGAATCATAGGGGGTCAATCAATAGTCATCCACCACTAATCCATTAGTTGTCCATTAGTCATCCAGTAATGATCCATTAGATTTCATGAAAATCATCCACAGGATGGATATAAAAACGTTCTATACAATGGATATAATGTATATCTAAGATTACATTAATCCAGTGATGTCATAGTTATCCATTAATTTATACATATGCAGATATAGATATACATACATCCATTAATTGTCCTTTGATTGACCCATTAATTGTCCACCACTTATCCATCAATTATCCATTAATTTATACGGATATCAGACATCACAGGATTCTAATGGATAACTATGACATCTGGATTATCCTCAAAAAACTATCCATCAAAGACAATGAATACCCTCTGGTAAACTAAGATAGCTATTGAACATGGCCCATTTAGTTCGTTGATTTACCAATAAAAAATGGTGATTTTCCAGTTCGCTATGTTAAATTACCAGAGGGTATATCTTATCCTGGTTGGTGATTTGGAACAAGAATTTTATTTTTACATATATTGGGAATGTTATAATCCCAACTGACTCATATTTTTCAGAGGGGTAGGTCAACCACCAACCAGTTATCCATGAATTTCACTGTTTTGAAGGGTAAGAACCAGGTTTTCTGTAAGACAAAATCCCATTAAATCACCATTAAACCACCATTGAGATTCTCTCGAATCGAAGGTCTCAGAGCGAAGCTGCGCTTGGCGCGGGGTCCCGGCGGCTCCAGCATTGCGACAGATGGGGCCTGGCGTTTTTAGTAAACGGAGTAAACTGAGGCTGTGGAAAATCACCCTTTTAATAGATTTTAAATGATTTTAATCAACTATCTATAAATGATTAAAGTGATACATAGGGAGTTATGAGCATATTTCAACTGTTTCTATGGGAGTTATACATGGTTGTAGAATCTTATATTATCGAGGAGATTCGCATATGGGCCAACATTGAGCACGTCAAACTGGTACAAGACTGGTAGCATATAATTACTGTCTACTAGAGGTGGCCAGAATCTTCTGCACCCAGTCTGTTGAATTTTGATCCATACCCTGATCTCAACTTTTACCAGCTGCATCGCATCCTTCCCTGGAACTCTGGTGCACCAGATCAAACATTTAGGACCTGTGAAAACAAAACAAGCGCTTGGCCATGTTGAGTACGAATTTTGATCCATTGTAAACCATTCAATTCAGTATAGCCCTGCTAATGTGCTGCGATGGTGAGCCTTGAAACTGATTCAAAGTACCCCTGCCCCACCGAAACGTTGTACCGTCACCCCGCTTGTTCCATTGAGCTCTGTCTCACAAAGGAAGTCTGAAGAAAATAAGCATAAACGATAGGTAACCATATTAAAATTATGGAGTCAAATACATCAAATACCAATTTTTATGGGTACTTGGAGGTCTAAGAACGAGAAAGAACCCAGTCTGTCACCAAATTTCCAGGCAGCGCACGCCGAGGCGGGCAGCTTCTCCATTTTTTCCATGACTGAGGAAAAAACATGGAAAACAAATGGATTATGCCATTTCCTTACAAAGCCGCATGAATTAGTACCAGTATGGTTTAGTATGAAAGAAACACACATGACCCAGAGATGTTTCTATTTGACAAGAGCTGACCAGATTCGATTGCCAGATGATGACCTCGCATTGTTGACATGACGCAACTCATCAGATTATAAGGGCACCACGTATACACAGGCATTTTTTTATGCACCCTGGCGATAGATGATCTTGAATGAATCTTCAATGAACATTGACATTCTCCAGATATTGAAATTCTTCCGCCTGAATGACAGGACTGAATGAATCACATCTAGGATAAATGACGAATCTAGATATTTCCGTCAATGACAATAGATCAATCAATGAAATTCTTCAATATTCATCCATTATTGTAGGTTAATATACCCAGTATTAAGCATCACCAACCATCATTATTATGTACAATGTATATATATATATACATTATATTATGGGTATCAATAATTATTCACCGTCATTACCATGGGTTAATTATCATCTATAATCATTATTATTCACCACCGTTAATTAATCAATGGATCATAATTATTATTCACAATCATTTATCGTTAACCGTTACTATTTCACCATCATCATAATCATCATACCTAACCATAATTTTGATCATCATTCACCACTATTATACCATCATTCACCATCAATAACCATCATTCACCACTATTATACCATCATTTACCATCAATAACCATCATTTACCATCAATAACCATCATTCACCACTATTATACCATCATTCACGATCAATAACCATCATTCACCACTATTATACCATCATTCACGATCAATAACCATCATTCACAACTATTATGCCATCATTCACCATCAATAACCATCATGCACCACTATTATACCATCATTCACCATCAATAACCATCATGCACCACTATTATACCATCATTCACCATCAATAACCATCATGCACCACTATTATACCATCATCCACCATCATTCACCATCAATAACCATCATGCACCATCAATAACCATCATTCACCACTACTATACCATCATTTACCATCAATAACCATCATTCCCCACTATTATACCATCATTTACCATCAATAACCATCATTCACCACTATTATACCATCATTCACCATCAATAACCATCATTCACCACTATTATACCATCATTCACCATCAATAACCATCATTCACCACTATTATACCATCATTCACCATCAATAACCATCATTCACCACTATTATACCATCATTCACCATCAATAACCATCATTCACCACTATTATGCCTTCATTCACCATCAATAACCATCATTCACCACTATTCTACCATCATTCACCATCAATAACCATCATTCACCACTATTATACCATCATTCACCACTATTATACCATCATTCACCATCAATAACCATCATGCACCACTATTATACCATCATTCACCATCAATAGCCATCATTCACCACTATTATACCATCATTCACCATCAAAAACCATCATTCACCACTATTATACCATCATTCACCATCAATAACCATCATTCACCACTATTATACCATCATTCACCATCGATAACCATCATTCACCACTATTATACCATCCTTCACCATCAATAACCATCATTCACCACTATTATAACATCATTGACCATCATTCACCACTATTATACCATCATTCACCATCAATAACCATCATGCACCACTATTATACCATCATTCACCATCAATAACAATCATGCACCACTATTATACCATCATCCACCATCAATAACCATCATCCACCACTATTATACCATCATTCACCATCAATAACCATCATGCACCACTATTATACCATCATCCACCATCATTCACCATCAATAACCATCATGCACCATCAATAACCATCATACACCACTATTATACCATCATTCACCATCAATAACCATCATGCACCACTATTATACCATCATTCACCATCAATAACCATCATGCACCACTATTATACCATCATTCACCATCAATAACCATCATGCACCACTATTATACCATCATCCACCATCAATAACCATCATCCACCACTATTATACCATGATTCACAATCAATAACCATCAATAACCATCATGCACCACTATTATACCATCATTCACCATCAATAGCCATCATGCACCACTATTATACCATCATTCACCACCAAAAACCACCATTCACCGCTATTATACCATCATCCACTATCAATGACCATCATTCACCACTATTATACCATCATTCACCATCAATAACCATCATGCACCACTATTATACCATCATTCACCATCAATAACCATCATGCACCACTATTATGCCATCATTCGCCATCAATAACCATCATGCACCACTATTATACCATCATTCACCATCAATAACCATCATGCACCACTATTATACCATCATCCACCATCAATAACCATCATGCACCACTATTATACCATCATTCACCATCAATAACCATCATGCACCACTATTATACCATCATCCACCATCAATAACCATCATGCACCACTATTATACCATCATCCACCATCAATAACCATCATGCACCACTATTATACCATCATTCACCATCAATAACCATCATGCACCACTATTATACCATCATCCACCATCAATAACCATCATGCACCACTATTATACCAGCATTCACCATCAATAACCATCATGCACCACTATTATACCATCATCCACCATCAATAACCATCATGCACCACTATTATACCATCATTCACCATCAATAACCATCATGCATCATCATCATACCACCTATCATTCGCACCATCATATTATACCATCATTCACCATCAATAACCATCATGCACCACTATTATACCATCATTTGCCATCAATAACCATCATGCACCACTATTACACCATCATACACCATCAATAACAATCATGCACCACTATTATACCATCATTCACCATCAATAACAATCATGCACCACTATTATACCATCATCCACCATCAATAGCCATCATTCCCCACTATTATACCATCATTCACCATCAATAACCATCATGCACCACTATTATACCATCATTCACCATCAATAACCATCATGCATGCACCACTATTATACCATCATTCACCATCAATAACCATCATGCACCACTATTATACCATCATTCACCATCAATAACCATCATGCACCACTATTATACCATCATTCACCATCAATAACCATCATGCACCACTATTATACCATCATTCACCATCAATAACCATCATGCACCACTATTATACAATCATTCACCATCAATAACCATCATGCACCACTATTATACCATCATTCACCATCAATAACCATCATGCACCACTATTATACCATCGTCCACCATCAATAACCATCATGCACCACTATTATACCATCATTCATCATCAATAACCATCATGCACCACTATTATACCATCATTCACCATCAATAACCATCATGCACCACTATTATACCATCATTCACCATCAATAACCATCATGCACCACTATTTACCATCATCCACCATCATTCACCATCAATAACCATCATGCACCACTATTATACCATCATTCACCATCAATAACCATCATGCACCACTATTATACCATCAAACACCATCAATAACCATCATGCAACACTATTATACCATCATCCACCATCATTCACCATCAATAACCATCATTCCCCACTATTATACCATCATTTACCATCAATAACCATCATTCACCACTATTATACCATCATTCACCATCAATAACCATCATTCACCACCATTATACCATCATTCACCATCAATAACCATCATGCACCACTATTATACCATCATTCACCATCAATAACCATCATGCACCACTATTATACCATCATCCACCATCAACTTAGATGTCTGGGCACACGCGTGCCCTGCGTACCGCACACGCGTGCCGACCCACGCGTGCCGACCCACAGAATAGAGATGATCTGGATGCATTTAGAATTAACTAGATATTCCAGATGTCTGGATGCTACGAAATGCAATCTGCAGCATGGGGGCACAAAATTTTAATGCTGAGCCGAAGGGCAACCAAATGCATTTTGTGCAAGAAATTAAACGCATCAGGGTACCTCAGATGCAATATTTCAATACATATGTTCTAGCCTGCATTTGGACAGTTTGTCAGATACTTGATTTTTTTAGATACTTGATTTTTTTGACTAGCTGGGCGATGAGCAATGGCAGTTTTGAACCATGATGACGTGCTGCAACTTCGCCGTGTTGGGCATGAGATTGGAGACCAGGCTCTGACGGGCAAGTTTCCAGTCAGGAATGTGTCTGATGATGTTCAGCAGTTATTGAAGCAACGCTTTGCAATCCTGCTGGATGGAACGAAGCCGAGGTGGCACTGCTACAACTGCAAATGGTCCTCGACCCAGAAAGGGTACTGCAGGCCTTTGGAGCATGTGTGCCTACAAGTTCTTCTCAAGGACGCCGGTTCTTTGTTAGCAAATGTTTTGGGCAATTTTATTGTCGAAGCTTTTCCAAATGCTTTTAATTTGGTGTAAAAAAAGCATTTGGGCCTTTGCAGGAAGCCACTTACCGGCAGCTGCATGGTCTTCAGCGAAATGTAGACTTGAAAGCGGAAGTCATAGAGTTTCTGGCTGAATACAAACAGAAAGGAAACCGAACCCAACCTTGCACGATTCCATTGGACAAGGAAGGCATCATGCGCTTGTGTCACAAGGGATGGCCAGCAGCTATTTTCAGAGCCAAGTTTGAGCATTGGGTCCCCTTTGATTTCGACTACCAGGCGGTCGATGTGAACATGGCCCCGGTTGCTAACGCTTTGAATGCTGAACTGGATCAAGAAGAGGCAGAACGGAGGCATGTGCTGGCGACTGTGACTAATGGCATTGGAATGCAGACGACGTCTAAAGACAATGTCTCTTGCTTGGCGTCTCAGGTGCTTTTTGGTTTTCCTTCGAAATGCATAAGAGGGGATTTTTAATTACCATCGTGTGCTGGCTTTTGAAACATTTGAGGCAACTTGGTCCTCATTCCTAGGCTTCATTGCCCAGGACTATCGGCAGCCGACCCGTCAACGTATAGATGAGTTGTGCGAACAAATGTCGAACGAGGTGGACCAGAAACTGGCTGAAAAGCTTCAGCATGATGGCCCATGGTTTGTGACTGCTGATGGTGCGACATCCAAGGGGCACTCCTTGGTGACAATTGATTGTACAAATGCTCAAGATGATGTTATCCATTTGGCACTGATCGATGGAGGTTACAATCGCTTAGACGCCGTATGGCTGAAGCAGCAGCTGCGTGAGCAGCTGGAGCGGTTGCCTGCTGTGGCTGGCGTGAGTCAAGACACGGCCCGCGTTTGCAAGAAGGCATGGAAAGAGCTCCACAGAGATCTTCGGGCTGGAAATCCTGCAAGGTGGCGCAGCCTAGCTTATATCGATTGCGGAGAACATGTGTCCCAGCTTGTGGCTGCAGACATGGCGAAGGAAATCCCTTGGCTACAGGACTGCCGGTTCTCTTGCTTGGCTCTCATTTTTTGCTACCACGGATCGAAGAAATCATTTTTGGACCTAGATGCTTTTTGGGCCGGTACCTAAAAGCACAGAGGATGTCCATGTTCTCTTCCGTCTCCCCTCCGTCTTTTCCTCCCTTCCCTCTCCGTCCTTCTGGGGGTGCGTGTGCTGGTGCTCCACGTCCTCTGCCTGGAGTGGTGGCCCATGGCAGAGGGTGCGTGCAACGCCAGCCACGTCCCTTCCCTTCTTTTCTTTCTGACTCTTCCTCCCTTCCCTCTCCGTCCTTCTGGGAGTGCGTGTGCTGGTGCTCCACGTCCTCTGCCTGGAGTGGTGGCCCATGGCAGAGGGTGCGTGCGACGCCAGCCACGTCCCTTCCCTTCCTTTCTTTCTGACTCTTCCTCCCTTCCCTCTCCGTCCTTCTGGGGGTGCGTTGCATACCTAGGTGCTTTTTTGGCCAGCAGCTAAATGCATAGGGTGTCCCGGTTCTCTATTCGTGTTTATGAATATAAAGATTTCTGATTCTAGGATACTTCTATAGGGATTGAACATCCAAAATAGACGGGAATAATACAACCAGATGAAACAAAAGAAGTTTCGGAAGCCGGCAAAGCTCCTGATAGCCGGATCGATACCACAGTCCTGCAAATGGAATCTCTGTGTTGCATACCTAGGTGCTTTTTTGGCCAGCAGCTAAATGCATAGGGTGTCCCGGTTCTCTATTCGTGTTTAAAGACATGAATATAAAGATTTCTGATTCTAGGATATTTCCATAGGCATTGGACATCCAAATAGACGGGAATAATACAACCAGATGAAAACAAAAGAAGTTTCGGAAGCCAGCAAAGCTCCTGATAGCCGGATCGATACCACCGTCCTGCAAATGGAATCGTCTCTGTGTTGCATACCTAGGTGCTTTTTTGGCCAGCAGCTAAATGCAATAGGGTGTCCCGGTTCTCTATTTCGTGTTTAAAGACATGAAAAATAAAGATTTCTGATTCTAGGATATTTTCCATAGGCATTGGACATCCAAAAGACGGGAATAATACAACCAGATGAAACAAAAGAAGTTTCGGAAGCCAGCAAAGCTCCTGATAGCCGGATCGATACCACAGTCCCCTGCAAATGGAATCTCTGTGTTGCATACCTAGGTGCTTTTTTTTGGCCAGCAGCTAAATGCATAGGGTGTCCCGGTTCTCTATCGTGTTTTTAAAGACATGAATGTAAAGATTTCTGATTCTAGGATTTTCTATAGGCATTGGACATCCAAAATAGACGGGAATAATACAACCAGATGAAACAAAAGAAGTTTCGGAAGCCGGCAAAGCTCCTGATAGCCGGATCGATACCACAGTCCTGCAAATGGAATCTCTCTGTTGCATACTAGGTGCTTTTTTGGCCAGCAGCTAAATGCATAGGGTGTCCCGGTTTTCTATTCGTGTTTAAAGACATGAATATAAAGATTTCTGATTCTAGGATATTTCCATAGGCATTGGACATCCAAAATAGACGGGAATAATACAACCAGATGAAACAAAAGAAGTTTCGGAAGCCAGCAAAGCTCCTGATAGCCGGATCGATACCACAGTCCTGCAAATGGAATCTCTGTGTTGCATACCTAGGTGCTTTTTTGGCCAGCAGCTAAATGCATAGGGTGTCCCGGTTCTCTATTCGTGTTTAAAGACATGAATGTAAAGATTTCTGATTCTAGGATATTTCCATAGGCATTGGACATCCAAAATAGACGGGAATAATACAACCAGATGAAACAAAAGAAGTTTCGGAAGCCAGCAAAGCTCCTGATAGCCGGATCGATACCACAGTCCTGCAAATGGAATCTCTGTGTTGCATACCTAGGTGCTTTTTTGGCCAGCAGCTAAATGCATAGGGTGTCCCGGTTCTCTATTCGTGTTTAAAGACATGAATATAAAGATTTCTGATTCTAGGATATTTCCATAGGCATTGGACATCCAAAATAGACGGGAATAATACAACCAGATGAAACAAAAGAAGTTTCGGAAGCCGGCAAAGCTCCTGATAGCCGGATCGATACCACAGTCCTGCATATGGAATCTCTGTGTTGCATACCTAGGTGCTTTTTTGGCCAGCAGCTAAATGCATAGGGTGCCCCGGTTCTCTATTCGTGTTTAAAGACATGAATATAAAGATTTCTGATTCTAGGAGACTTCTATAGGCATTGGACATCCAAAATAGACGGGAATAATACAACCAGATGAAACAAAAGAAGTTTCGGAAGCCGGCAAAGCTCCTGATAGCCGGATCGATACCACAGTCCTGCAAATGGAATCTCTCTGTTGCATACTAGGTGCTTTTTTGGCCAGCAGCTAAATGCATAGGGTGTCCCGGTTTTCTATTCGTGTTTAAAGACATGAATATAAAGATTTCTGATTCTAGGATATTTCCATAGGCATTGGACATCCAAAATAGACGGGAATAATACAACCAGATGAAACAAAAGAAGTTTCGGAAGCCGGCAAAGCTTCTGATAGCCGGATCGACACCACAATCCTGCAAATGGAATCTCTGTGTTGCATACCTAGGTGCTTTTTTGGCCAGCAGCTAAATGCATAGGGTGTCCCGGTTCTCTATTCGTGTTTAAAGACATGAATATAAAGATTTCTGATTCTAGCATACTTCTATAGGCATTGGACATCCAAATTGGACGGGAATAATACAACCAGATGAAACAAAACAATTTTCGGAAGCCGGCAAAGCTCCTGATAGCCGGATCGATACCACAGTCCTGCAAATGGAATCTCTCTGTTGCATACCTAGATGCTTTTTTGGCCATCACCTAAAAGCATAACAGTCTAGCAGCTCCATTTTTTGAACCCTGTGCCAGGATGTCCTCGGCAAGGTCCACAAAGCTCAACGGGTAGTGGTGCGGAAAAAACGAGCCAAAGCTTATGTCCTTCATGTGCAGAAAGATTGGTTGAAGAAAGGCCGTCTCCCGCGATTGAGAAAGCTCCGTGTTGTCCGGAAAACACGGTTCAATAGCAATTGCCGCACCCTGGACAGCTTCCTCGTGAATGCCAGCTGCATGCGGCAGATTGTGGACGCTGCCGACTTTCAGAATGCCATGAAAGCACGCTCTGTGGAAAAGAATGCCAAAGTTGAGGCTCACCTGAAAGCGTGGACGTCAAACGCAACCTTTGAGCGGGCCAGACGTGCCCTGGCAATCTTGGGTCCTGCTGCGGTTCTTTGCCGTCAAGTCGCTACGAGGGACTTCTTTAAGTGCCTGCCTTCGTGGCGAAAAGCTCAATGCAAAATTTTGGAATCCTTGGCCACTGAAGATTTTGCAGATGCGAGGCTTCGCGAGACAGGACTTTGGGGGCTTGTCGGATTTGTTTCTTCTGCAGCCAGCAATAGCCAGCTCCTTTTTTTCCTGGATACCTGCCCACGTAGCATTTTGGCTCCTCTTGACGTTAAACCCTCTCTCTCTCTAGCCACTGTCACCAAAGTATGGCTGAGCAGATGCAAGGAGATTGCAGCTTGTTGTGTCCCGGCTACTTGTTAGCTGAGTGCTTGCGCCTTCCAAAGGTGCAGATTTGCATTGGCACATTCTTGCGTGCGGCTCCAGAGTTGCCTGCTGCGCTTCCTGAAGGTGTTGTCCTGGCACCTTGCAAGCCTGGACGCCCTGCAAAGGGCACAGTCCGGCCTCCGAAACCGCCGACTGGCAGGTTCGGTGGGCAAGCTTTTCGAGATGCAGAAGCTCAGATCAAGATGCTCCAGAAAAATATGAAAGAGCCCTGCGTGCCCAAGAAAACGTTCGTGCGTTGGGCTCGTGACGTCTTGGAAAGCCAGCGTGACCCCAAAGGTGCGATGCTCAAGATGACCCCCGCTGCAATCGACACTTTGCAGTCGGCTTTGGAGGACCGAGTTTCTGTCGCTTTTGGTGCGTATATGAACCCCAATGCTTTTTTCGTGTATCCAAAAAAGCTTTTGGATAACCATCATTAACAAGCAAACCCAGATGCGTTTTGATCGGCCGCACAAAAGCTTTTAGATATTTTGTCCTCTTCTTTTTCATCATTCTGTACAGGACTATGGTGTGCAGTTGATGGTGCGTGGAAGCATTGTTGCTCACCATGCCAAAAGACAGACCGTGACTGAGAAGGATTTGGAGTGCTTGGCCAAGTTGGATTCTGCCAACAGTGCCAGCGCAATTGTCCCCAGTGAGAGTTCCAAGCCTAAGAAAAGAAAGGTTAGCAAATGAGAGCCGTGTGCTTTTTCAGCGGTAGTGGCCATGAGTGACAGGGAACTCATTGGCCGTGACTTTGTTAGCACCCTTTCAGAATGGTGCGGATTTGGCGGTTTGTTGCTGGTTTCGCAACAAGGGGTTGGCAGGCATCGCTTGTGTCAGTGAACAAAAAAGAGCGTCAGATTTTCCATCTTGTGTGTCAATAGAAGTCGTCATTGATGACCTTGCACCAGCCCTTGGAATGCAGGAGCAACTCTGGCGACACGCCAACAGAAGGTACGGGAAATCTTGGAGAAGCGTGGTGCCTGCTACCAGACTGTCGCGCACAAAGCTGCCTTTGCTTTGGATCCTCGCGTTGTCTCACTTCTTTCTGACCCCAACATGGATACCTTGGCTGGCTTTCCAGTGCGTGGGCCTTGGCAGGATGCTTTAAGCTGCACCATGTCTGAGTTCATTCCAATGTTTTTTGCAGTGGAGGCGGGCGGAGCTAGAAGAAAGAAGAAATATGAGACAGTAACTGCGGACATATGATCACAAAATTTCCAAATGCTTTTGGCGGCAAAAAATAAATGCATTGGAGCCCTGCCAGGCGGACCAGGAAGCGGCCAGACATGCCGCGGATTCGTATGTACATCGTCGCGGAGTGTTTGCTCAGATGGCCTTTCCACAATTTGGTGCTCCCAAAGCTGATGTTCTCGTTTTTTTTCGCAGTGGGCAACCAAGCCACCTGCTTCGGGATATGGGCATTCACTTGGCTACCTTGGGAGGGAGTCAAGGAATGTCGGAACGCAGCTGGGCCAGATTGTCAAGGCAATGCACCCCAATCAGAAGCAATTTGTCAGCAAACTCCAAAAAAAAGTTGCTGAAACTTGCCACGAACTGGAACTTGTTGTATCCAGAAGTTTTCAATGCATGGAAGTTGCGACGTGACAAGAAAATTAAGAGAAAACGAAATACAGACTTTGTACAGTTGCCTCGCCCAGCAGGCAGAAGCCAATCTGGGCCTGAAGCGGCTCCAGAAATCCCTGTTGTAAACCCGGCTGTTGGTGACACTAGCAGCTCTAGCAGCTCAAGCTCCAGCAGCAGTAGCAGCGACTCTGAGTTGCCTGTACTGTCTGACGACGGTGAGTGATAGAAGAGACATGCCTGGAAAATCTTATGCTGCAACATCTATGGCTGTATTAATATAAATGCTTTTTGTGTCATCCAAAAAATGCATTGAGGTTCCAATTCCAAAGACATGCCATAATCCTTGGCGCGTACGGCTTGAGATTTGAGGTGCTTTTTCTTTCGAACAAATATCAATGGTACCAACATTTGCTGCATGCTTTTGTCCTAGGATAATAAAATCTTTCGGCGGTCTTCTATAAAAACACAAATCCTCTATGCATATTGCCACGATCCTTAAATGCATATCATCTAACTTTATATATTTGATGCCTATATCCTCCTGCGTGGCAAACCCGGGTGCAACTGTAATTAGCGTAATATCCCGAAAATGTCGTTGGCCCCGGCAGAAGCGGCAAGAGGTAGTAGGGGCGGACCTATTTATAGCATATTTGCTTAAATGGTTTTAAAACAACCCAAAAAAATCATCAGGAATTCTTAGTAGTTTTCCGGTTCTAACCACATCTTCAATGCATATTGTTTAAGCCCCTAAATGCATACCATATATTTTTCCACCTTAAATTATCATGAACATCCTTGCGTGCCGGCCCGCGTGCCGAACACGCGTGCGGAACGCAGCGTTCTGCGTGCTGCGTGCCGGGGCGCCTAAGACCATCAATAACCATCATTCACCACTATTATACCATCATCCACCATCAATAACCATCATTCACCACGATTATACCATCATTCACCATCAATAACCATCATGCACCACTATTATACCATCATTCACCATCAATAACCATCATGCACCACTATTATGCCATCATTCACCATCAATAACCATCATGCACCACTATTATACCATCATTCACCATCAATAACCATCATGCACCACTATTATACCATCATTCACCATCAATAACCATCATGCACCACTATTATACCATCATTCACCATCAATAACCATCATGCACCACTATTATACCATCATTCACCATCAATAACCATCATGCACCACTATTTACCATCATCCACCATCATTCACCATCAATAACCATCATGCACCACTATTATACCATCATCCACCATCAATAACCATCATGCACCACTATTATACCATCATCCACCATCAATAACCGTCATGCACCACTACTATACCATCATTCACCATCAATAACCATCATGCACCACTATTTACCATCATCCACCATCATCCACCATCAATAACCATCATGCACCACTATTATACCATCATCCACCGTCAATAACCATCATGCACCACTATTATACCATCATTCACCATCAATAACCATCATGCACCACTATTATACCATCATTCACCATCAATAACCATCATGCACCACTATTATGCCATCATTCACCATCAATAACCATCATGCACCACTATTATGCCATCATTCACCATCAATAACCATCATGCACCACTATTATGCCATCATTCACCATCAATAACCATCATGCACCACTATTATACCATCATCCACCATCAATGTGAATGGATTTTGTTCAATGAGAAGTTGAATCGTGGTGCCATCGCAGGCCCCAGTGAGACGACCCCACGAGGTGCGGCCGCGTGCGGCTGACGATGGCTGAACCAATGGGTACGTCTCCCAAATAATATGAGTCATTCATGGTTGAATGATGGTTATAATAGTGGTTAATACTTAAATTAATGGTTATTTTGTTGTTATGAATGGTACGTTTATGATTAGAATCCCGATTCCCATAGGTTGATTTTTTTTTTGGATCTCCCGTAGGCTGACCTGAAAAAAAATGGTCCATTTTCATCATCTCGCTGTTGAAAATTCAGGTCCGGAAGACCAAGGACAACTGCGCCCTGAGTTGTCTGGGCACCACGTTTTTTTTTTTTCTGGGATGTGGATGTGACGCGGATGGCGTCACTGGAAGAAAGAATGCTGTAAGGGATGAAACCAGGTATGACTGGGATAGAAGGGTTGTTCAAGATGAATGGAGACAATGGGGGATGGGATTTTCTGTGACTTACTGGGCGCCGAAAAAACCAGTTACTAAGTGAGCTGATCCTCCAAATTGGACTCCACTGGAACTTCCTTTGAGAATCCCTTGGGTTTGGGGGGTCGCTCTTTACGCATCTCCTTCCTTCGTGGCAACTATAGGACCATTATTTCAGCACCAGTTCTGGTTATAGAAACAAACCCAGGGGTACTTCATGAAATGAAGCTTCATGAATTTTGATTGGGATATATTTGGACACAGTGATACAATCAACAACCATGGGTATACAGCTTGATAGAACAGAGACCACGAATGTTGGGCTTTGAGCTAATACTGACCTTTCTTGTTACCAGCAAGAGTGAGGAAGGACTTGCGGCATCTGATCCAACCCGTGCATTCCAGACCTTGGGATTTATGTTTTTTGGGGTTCTTGCTGATGGCAATTGATGGTAAATGAATGTAAATGATAGTTATATATATATATTTCTTTCATGTTCCATACATTTCCATACCATGATTGGTTCAATCATGTCGCTTTTTAAGACGGAATTCATCTAAATTCGACGGGCGGCCCACTCTTACGGTGGGTAGTGCGTCCCAACAGAGGATCCATGCCGATCTCAGCTAGCCGACATCATTAAACATGATATGACTAGGCGACTAGGCTAGCCATCATTAATGAACTAATCATTGCTTATCCCATCTGATCCCGTGGGATAAGCCTATCTCACGACTAAAAATATCAGTGGTTATCCCATCTTTTGAAGACAGAACTCATTGCCCCCCAAATGGAGCTTTCCTGAAATAGGGGTACCCCAGTTCTCCATGGCACTTTATAGGTTTTTCCATGAAAGAAACCATCCAGCTATTGGGGTACCCCCATTTATGGAAAGCCCTATAATATGATTAATATGTCATCATGGGGAATCCATCGCCATGAAACCCTCCAATTTTGGATGGTACCACCATGCGCCAGCCATTGTGAACATGGGGCTGAACATATCATTGAACATTTTCCAGCATAACCAACATGAAAAAAACATAACATGGTAACCAACATTTTCTTTCCATAACATGTTGTAACCCATCTGGAAAAAACCATGACAGAACCAACATTTTCCATAATATTCACCAACATTCACCCAAGAAAATCGGACATTCGAGACGCGGCCCAGGTCCCCTGCGTATCGCAACTTCCGACACGCCATGAACCTGGACGGCGGCGCGGCGGCCCGGGGGATTTTTCCGTACCACGGAGATGGGGATTTCGTTGGTCAAATGTTTGGAATCATGTGCAACTCATATCAACTGAGTAAATTTTACACATATATATATATATACATATTATGTAGAATATAACAATATATATATGATAATGTATGTATATATGTTGATTTGTTATAAATTATTCTTAATCCACTGCTTAACTCATCGTCATTTTGTTTGCCCAATGTGAACATCATCGGCAGTGGGAATAATGGACATTACCAGAGGGCCTTTGTATGTTCTTGTCCCCATTTGCCCATGTAGACTGAAATTCAGATTTCCATTTTTCCCAATACGGGTTGTGTATATATATATATATCATCTAACTATAATATATATATATATATATCATAATATATCATATAATTGTATATATATATAGATATCATATATATATAAATATGATATATATATATACATACATACATATTATGAGTTTCTGAGTTTCCCACGTGTACGCAACTGGGTTGTTCCTTTTCTCCTTTTCTAATAGGGTTGTTTCATGTTGTTTCACCCCAGAACTGTGCGTGGTAACCGACCCTGAAAACAATCTGAGCAGCAAACATATCGCCCTTCTGGATTTGGACGGTGAGATACATATCATCACACTTTGACCATTCGATAAATGTCGCTCGATTTCTGGATTCTGGATTCGATTCGAAATTCGGGGGTTCGCAGCCGTTGTGAGGCACTTATCACTAGCTCTCCAGGCTGGAAATTGCGGATGATATGTGGGATGACCTGGGAGAAAAATTCCAAGCCGTGACCAGGGCCAGCCCCAGTTCTAAGGGTTCATTAACCTCATTAATGTTTATTAAGTATAATTATACATATATAATATACATACATATATACATATATACATATATATATATACATACATACATATATATATACATATATATATAGATATGTATATATATATATGCATATACATATATACATATCCATAGACATGTACATATACATATACATACATGCATATATATGTATACATGTATGTATATATATATATCATTATATGATCTTATATTCAGTATCCCCCATAAACCCAACACTTAACCAAAGCAAATAAGTCAACCTAGCTACGGCTACCGGCTGATGGGGCCACCTTTTGTGATCGCAGGATGAGTCCCAAAAAAGGACGGCTGAGCGACCAGATGTCCATTCCCCAGTGGATGGAGAACCCCAGTTCGTTAGTGGTTTAGATGGTTTGTGACACACAAAAAACACTTAGGACTTTGGGTTTGTGATAGATATATCTATAGTTTATGGACATCGGAATAGCAACTTAAACTTTAAACCTTTAACATGATCAACACATGTGAAAACTGTGGACAACTCACGCTCAAGAATCATTTTTTTATGATGGTGAAACATCTATCTTTATCTTCATCGGCAAGTTACAATAAACAATTACCCTTTGAAAAACATCATCCTTTCACATGTTGCCAAGTGCCAAGCACACATGAAACATATAGATATATGAACAAAACATACATAGCCTAACATAGTCAAACATCATGGCACGAATCTCTGTTGAAAGCTTCGGCGTGGTTTCACCCAGAATCTGCCCCCGCTGTGCGCAGATGCGCCCCGTGATGGGCAGCAGCATTTCACGTTTCACATGGAGCGGCTCGCAACGCACTGAGTAGAAAAGATGAGGAAATTGGCACCTCAAACGTGAACACATCAACATTAGAGTAAAGCTTCTAGAATGGAACTGTCTATTATATTGTCCTGACCTTCCAAACACAGCTGAGCAGCATCAAAAACATCCAAGCAAGAAAGTTATATGGGGATGAAACTAAGTTGGGCCCGCGGAAGTGCAACCCGCGTCCGCAGAAGCGCTTGCTGAAGCGGAAGCTGATCGTCCGATCGCGGAAGGGCCGCGGAAGACGAATTCAATGAGTAACCTATCATACGTTTGAGGTTGATGCGATTGGTGTGAAAAATGCCTCGCGGAGTCAGCTGTCATCGGGGCTTGGACCCGCCGTGGAACAGTTGGAGCAGCAAGCAGTCATGGACCAACAAAGATTCCAAGACGGTTTCGCTGGGTACGCAATGTTTTGGTCCCGTTTTGGCCCAGAAATCCACGGAAGCTTCGCAGAAGCTCCGTGGAAGCTCCGTGGAAGCCGAGCCTTGTCTTCCCCACCTGCCGTGGACAGGTGCCCAATCACCTATACTATTCTACACAATCAAAGTCAATCAGTTTCTAAGCAAGGTTTATTCAACCTATAATCTTCATGAGCTTCTTTTCGCGGAAGCGGAAGCAGAATCAACTTACCAATCATCCGCGGAAGCTAAAACTGTGGTCGCGGAAGCAGCACAGAAGACGGCGAGGAAGACATGTAGGAGTAGAAACAAATTATATAGGGTTCTCGGCACCGCTCAGCTGTTGTTTCTTGATTGTTGCTGGACACCCCATTGTCTAAAAATTCTAGACTATAAGGATCAATCAACAATTGTTTTGATGGTCTGGGAAGCATTTGGAAGCCCAGGGATGGCTTGTCAAAAATGGGATAATACCATATCATTCCGCCCCATTTACTGCAATTTCAATTGGTCACATGATGATAAATAGCCCAGTATTTTGGGGTGTCAGTTTTTTGGATAAACCCATACCATATCCCATCTACCCAGATTCGGAATCTGGTATACCACGAAACACTCGATGGGTTCGCATCTGTTTTTTTGGAGGTAGCTTACGATTGATCTCAGGCTTTTTGGGTTTTAGATTCATTTTATTTATTATTTATTTTTTTCAGGTTTATCAACAGCCCAACAGCCACAGCCCTGGAAACCAGGTGTGTTTTCTATCGAAAGAATTCGGGGAAGTCGGGTACTTCATGCTGGCTGTCTTTGGCTTTAGCTGGCCTCGACGGCACGGATGGCACGGACGTTTTCCAGGCATGGCATGGCCGAGATGGGTGGTGAAAAATCCTGCCTTGGTGAACCAAGGAGATGGGTTTACTCCTGGGCTATGACGACCTTTAAAACCAATGGGTGCACAGACGTTGACCATCGTCATTCAGAGCTTTTTCGCCAGATCTATGGTATCTGCTGAAGCTGCAAAAGGAGTGTTACTTCGCAAGTGTTCAAGAGCCCTTACTGGTTGAGGATGAGTTCGGGGACTCTACTAATGCATACTAATACAGAATATTGGGGAATATCACCATCCATGAGTGGGGAATCCATATCAACCAACCAATATAAAGGGATGTTTATCAGGAGTGCAAAGACACACTGTAGATCAGAAGGGTTTAGCGAATGATAGTTTTGTTTCTCAAATTATATTGTATACAAAAAACAAATATGTACTGGATGCAGTTTTCGACATGTTTCGACCCAGTTCCCCAAAAGTCAGAAACAAGATATTTTCTTCATCACCATCCTGGCATCATCATGCTGGCCTTGAAAACGTGGACAGATCATCTATAATAAAAAAGCACAAGAAACACAGTTTTGAGAAGACATCATCATGTAAAGTGAATTTGAAGAGATACTCGTATGAGATAAGTGAAAAAGTGCACTTTTTATAACTATTGAGACATTTGAGAAAAAAAACACAAACTTTTGAGACATCTTGAAACAAACTGGTGGCAATTTTTACGACTCCCAATTTACCTCTAGTTTTGGACCTCCCCTTTTCCAAGGTGTGCAGACAAAATCGAGAACTTGTTTATCACTTAGAGCCATTTATCACCAATGTTTTTTTGGGATAACTATGGGACATAAATATTACTAATGAATTTTCACATATCACTGGCAAATCATCAAGACTCAAGTGACAAGTGGTGATACCTCAAGTGGTTGCGCGGTCCCACAATGTGGAAAACTGCAAAGCTTTCCCATTGGTTGGTTGATTAATACAGGGGTTTGTTTACCCCTTTAACAACAGGGAAATGATGATAGATGGTATACCAAACCGGCCCCTCTATTTTTACCAAAAGGACATTATTGTTGCCAACTATCTAGGTTTTCCAAGGGAAATTGCACTAGGCACTTGGTTAAGTGGTAAGTGGTAAATGGTTCCTTCAGAGTTCCCTAGCCCAATTTTTATCAAAAACTCATTTTTTACACAATGCTATTTTTTAATGATTTGCTGAGAATCCTTAAAAACTCTATTGATCCAGGGTGTGTCTTCAACCTCCTGAGATTGATGATTATCATCACCCACTAGGATTTTTGGTTCCCTCACTTCGACTGTGCCTCTGATTCCCTTTCAGAACAGTGGGACAAATTGCAGGAAATGCTTACATTTGGGATTGAACGCATTTGAATAGCCAGCGAATCCTGTAGAAGGTCCCCAACAGTTTGAAACTGGACAGGTGATACCATAGCTGTCGCCCACAGCATGGAAGTTGAGGCTGGCAAGCCATGTTGGTCAAAATCAGCATGCTCAGCAACACTCAAACATGATTTCCAGGCAGCGCACGCCGAGGCGGGCAGCTTCTCCATTTTTTCCATGACTGAGGAAAAAACATGGAAAACAAATGGATTATGCCATTTCCTTACAAAGCCGCATGAATTAGTACCAGTATGGTTTAGTATGAAAGAAACACACATGACCCAGAGATGTTTCTATTTGACAAGAGCTGACCAGATTCGATTGCCAGATGATGACCTCGCATTGTTGACATGACGCAACTCATCAGATTATAAGGGCACCACGTATACACAGGCATTTTTTTATGCACCCTGGCGATAGATGATCTTGAATGAATCTTCAATGAACATTGACATTCTCCAGATATTGAAATTCTTCCGCCTGAATGACAGGACTGAATGAATCACATCTAGGATAAATGACGAATCTAGATATTTCCGTCAATGACAATAGATCAATCAATGAAATTCTTCAATATTCATCCATTATTGTAGGTTAATATACCCAGTATTAAGCATCACCAACCATCATTATTATGTACAATGTATATATATATATACATTATATTATGGGTATCAATAATTATTCACCGTCATTACCATGGGTTAATTATCATCTATAATCATTATTATTCACCACCGTTAATTAATCAATGGATCATAATTATTATTCACAATCATTTATCGTTAACCGTTACTATTTCACCATCATCATAATCATCATACCTAACCATAATTTTGATCATCATTCACCACTATTATACCATCATTCACCATCAATAACCATCATTCACCACTATTATACCGTCATTTACCATCAATAACAATCATGCACCACTATTATACCATCATTCGCCATCAATAACCATCATGCACCACTATTATACCATCATTCACGATCAATAACCATCATTCACCACTATTATACCATCATTCACGATCAATAACCATCATTCACAACTATTATGCCATCATTCACCATCAATAACCATCATGCACCACTATTATACCATCATTCACCATCAATAACCATCATGCACCACTATTATACCATCATTCACCATCAATAACCATCATGCACCACTATTATACCATCATTCACCATCAATAACCATCATGCACCACTATTATACCATCATTCACCATCAATAACCATCATTCACCACTACTATACCATCATTTACCATCAATAACCATCATTCACCACTACTATACCATCATTTACCATCAATAACCATCATTCACCACTATTATACCATCATTCACCATCAATAACCATCATTCACCACTATTATACCATCATTCACCATCAATAACCATCATTCACCACTATTATACCATCATTCACCATCAATAACCATCATTCACCACTATTATGCCTTCATTCACCATCAATAACCATCATTCACCACTATTCTACCATCATTCACCATCAATAACCATCATTCACCACTATTATACCATCATTCACCACTATTATACCATCATTCACCATCAATAACCATCATGCACCACTATTATACCATCATTCACCATCAATAGCCATCATTCACCACTATTATACCATCATTCACCATCAAAAACCATCATTCACCACTATTATACCATCATTCACCATCAATAACCATCATTCACCACTATTATACCATCATTCACCATCGATAACCATCATTCACCACTATTATACCATCCTTCACCATCAATAACCATCATTCACCACTATTATAACATCATTGACCATCATTCACCACTATTATACCATCATTCACCATCAATAACCATCATGCACCACTATTATACCATCATTCACCATCAATAACAATCATGCACCACTATTATACCATCATCCACCATCAATAACCATCATCCACCACTATTATACCATCATTCACCATCAATAACCATCATGCACCACTATTATACCATCATCCACCATCATTCACCATCAATAACCATCATGCACCATCAATAACCATCATACACCACTATTATACCATCATTCACCATCAATAACCATCATGCACCACTATTATACCATCATTCACCATCAATAACCATCATGCACCACTATTATACCATCATTCACCATCAATAACCATCATGCACCACTATTATACCATCATCCACCATCAATAACCATCATCCACCACTATTATACCATGATTCACAATCAATAACCATCAATAACCATCATGCACCACTATTATACCATCATTCACCATCAATAGCCATCATGCACCACTATTATACCATCATTCACCACCAAAAACCACCATTCACCGCTATTATACCATCATCCACTATCAATGACCATCATTCACCACTATTATACCATCATTCACCATCAATAACCATCATGCACCACTATTATACCATCATTCACCATCAATAACCATCATGCACCACTATTATGCCATCATTCGCCATCAATAACCATCATGCACCACTATTATACCATCATTCACCATCAATAACCATCATGCACCACTATTATACCATCATCCACCATCAATAACCATCATGCACCACTATTATACCATCATCCACCATCAATAACCGTCATGCACCACTACTATACCATCATTCACCATCAATAACCATCATGCACCACTATTATACCATCATCCACCATCAATAACCATCATGCACCACTATTATACCATCATCCACCATCAATAACCATCATGCACCACTATTATACCATCATTCACCATCAATAACCATCATGCACCACTATTCACCATCAATAACCATCATGCACCACTATTATGCCATCATTCACCATCAATAACCATCATGCACCTATCATGCAACACTATTAATACCCTCATCCACCCTTCCAATAACCATCATGCACCACTTTATAACCATTCATTCATCCCATCCATAACCATCATGCACCACTATTATCTCAATCAACCATCAAAACCATCATGCACCACTAGTTATGCCATCCAGTCACACATCAATAACCATCATGCAACCCTATTATACCATCCAGTCCATTCACACATAATAACCATCAATGCAAACCACTATTAACCATCATTCACCATCAATAACCAGCATGCACCCTATTATAATCCATCATTTGCCATCCATACCTCATGCCCACTATTATAGGCCATATTCAACCATCAATAACAATCATGCCCACTACTTATACCTCATTCACCATCAATAACCATCATGCCCACTATGTATAACCCATCATACAACACCATCATAGCCATCCCTTCCTCCCACTATTATACCTCATTCCCCATCATAACCATCATGCACCACTATTATGCCATCATTCACCATCAATAACCATCATGCACCACTATTATGCCATCATTCACCATCAATAACCATCATGCACCACTATTATGCCATCATTCACCATCAATAACCATCATGCACCACTATTATACCATCATTCACCATCAATAACCATCATGCACCACTATTATACCATCATTCACCATCAATAACCATCATGCACCACTATTATACCATCATTCACCATCAATAACCATCATGCACCACTATTATACAATCATTCACCATCAATAACCATCATGCACCACTATTATACCATCATTCACCATCAATAACCATCATGCACCACTATTATACCATCGTCCACCATCAATAACCATCATGCACCACTATTATACCATCATTCATCATCAATAACCATCATGCACCACTATTATACCATCATTCACCATCAATAACCATCATGCACCACTATTATACCATCATTCACCATCAATAACCATCATGCACCACTATTTACCATCATCCACCATCATTCACCATCAATAACCATCATGCACCACTATTATACCATCATTCACCATCAATAACCATCATGCACCACTATTATACCATCAAACACCATCAATAACCATCATGCAACACTATTATACCATCATCCACCATCATTCACCATCAATAACCATCATGCACCACTATTATACCATCATCCACCATCAATAACCATCATTCACCACCATTATACCATCATTCACCATCAATAACCATCATGCACCACTATTATACCATCATTCACCATCAATAACCATCATGCACCACTATTATACCATCATCCACCATCAACTTAGATGTCTGGGCACACGCGTGCCCTGCGTACCGCACACGCGTGCCGACCCACGCGTGCCGACCCACAGAATAGAGATGATCTGGATGCATTTAGAATTAACTAGATATTCCAGATGTCTGGATGCTACGAAATGCAATCTGCAGCATGGGGGCACAAAATTTTAATGCTGAGCCGAAGGGCAACCAAATGCATTTTGTGCAAGAAATTAAACGCATCAGGGTACCTCAGATGCAATATTTCAATACATATGTTCTAGCCTGCATTTGGACAGTTTGTCAGATACTTGATTTTTTTAGATACTTGATTTTTTTGACTAGCTGGGCGATGAGCAATGGCAGTTTTGAACCATGATGACGTGCTGCAACTTCGCCGTGTTGGGCATGAGATTGGAGACCAGGCTCTGACGGGCAAGTTTCCAGTCAGGAATGTGTCTGATGATGTTCAGCAGTTATTGAAGCAACGCTTTGCAATCCTGCTGGATGGAACGAAGCCGAGGTGGCACTGCTACAACTGCAAATGGTCCTCGACCCAGAAAGGGTACTGCAGGCCTTTGGAGCATGTGTGCCTACAAGTTCTTCTCAAGGACGCCGGTTCTTTGTTAGCAAATGTTTTGGGCAATTTTATTGTCGAAGCTTTTCCAAATGCTTTTAATTTGGTGTAAAAAAAGCATTTGGGCCTTTGCAGGAAGCCACTTACCGGCAGCTGCATGGTCTTCAGCGAAATGTAGACTTGAAAGCGGAAGTCATAGAGTTTCTGGCTGAATACAAACAGAAAGGAAACCGAACCCAACCTTGCACGATTCCATTGGACAAGGAAGGCATCATGCGCTTGTGTCACAAGGGATGGCCAGCAGCTATTTTCAGAGCCAAGTTTGAGCATTGGGTCCCCTTTGATTTCGACTACCAGGCGGTCGATGTGAACATGGCCCCGGTTGCTAACGCTTTGAATGCTGAACTGGATCAAGAAGAGGCAGAACGGAGGCATGTGCTGGCGACTGTGACTAATGGCATTGGAATGCAGACGACGTCTAAAGACAATGTCTCTTGCTTGGCGTCTCAGGTGCTTTTTGGTTTTCCTTCGAAATGCATAAGAGGGGATTTTTAATTACCATCGTGTGCTGGCTTTTGAAACATTTGAGGCAACTTGGTCCTCATTCCTAGGCTTCATTGCCCAGGACTATCGGCAGCCGACCCGTCAACGTATAGATGAGTTGTGCGAACAAATGTCGAACGAGGTGGACCAGAAACTGGCTGAAAAGCTTCAGCATGATGGCCCATGGTTTGTGACTGCTGATGGTGCGACATCCAAGGGGCACTCCTTGGTGACAATTGATTGTACAAATGCTCAAGATGATGTTATCCATTTGGCACTGATCGATGGAGGTTACAATCGCTTAGACGCCGTATGGCTGAAGCAGCAGCTGCGTGAGCAGCTGGAGCGGTTGCCTGCTGTGGCTGGCGTGAGTCAAGACACGGCCCGCGTTTGCAAGAAGGCATGGAAAGAGCTCCACAGAGATCTTCGGGCTGGAAATCCTGCAAGGTGGCGCGGCCTAGCTTATATCGATTGCGGAGAACATGTGTCCCAGCTTGTGGCTGCAGACATGGCGAAGGAAATCCCTTGGCTACAGGACTGCCGGTTCTCTTGCTTGGCTCTCATTTTTTGCTACCACGGATCGAAGAAATCATTTTTGGACCTAGATGCTTTTTGGGCCGGTACCTAAAAGCACAGAGGATGTCCATGTTCTCTTCCGTCTCCCCTCCGTCTTTTCCTCCCTTCCCTCTCCGTCCTTCTGGGGGTGCGTGTGCTGGTGCTCCACGTCCTCTGCCTGGAGTGGTGGCCCATGGCAGAGGGTGCGTGCAACGCCAGCCACGTCCCTTCCCTTCTTTTCTTTCTGACTCTTCCTCCCTTCCCTCTCCGTCCTTCTGGGAGTGCGTGTGCTGGTGCTCCACGTCCTCTGCCTGGAGTGGTGGCCCATGGCAGAGGGTGCGTGCGACGCCAGCCACGTCCCTTCCCTTCCTTTCTTTCTGACTCTTCCTCCCTTCCCTCTCCGTCCTTCTGGGGGTGCGTTGCATACCTAGGTGCTTTTTTGGCCAGCAGCTAAATGCATAGGGTGTCCCGGTTCTCTATTCGTGTTTATGAATATAAAGATTTCTGATTCTAGGATACTTCTATAGGGATTGAACATCCAAAATAGACGGGAATAATACAACCAGATGAAACAAAAGAAGTTTCGGAAGCCGGCAAAGCTCCTGATAGCCGGATCGATACCACAGTCCTGCAAATGGAATCTCTGTGTTGCATACCTAGGTGCTTTTTTGGCCAGCAGCTAAATGCATAGGGTGTCCCGGTTCTCTATTCGTGTTTAAAGACATGAATATAAAGATTTCTGATTCTAGGATATTTCCATAGGCATTGGACATCCAAAATAGACGGGAATAATACAACCAGATGAAACAAAAGAAGTTTCGGAAGCCAGCAAAGCTCCTGATAGCCGGATCGATACCACAGTCCTGCAAATGGAATCTCTGTGTTGCATACCTAGGTGCTTTTTTGGCCAGCAGCTAAATGCATAGGGTGTCCCGGTTCTCTATTCGTGTTTAAAGACATGAATATAAAGATTTCTGATTCTAGGAGACTTCTATAGGCATTGGACATCCAAAATAGACGGGAATAATACAACCAGATGAAACAAAAGAAGTTTCGGAAGCCGGCAAAGCTCCTGATAGCCGGATCGATACCACAGTCCTGCAAATGGAATCTCTCTGTTGCATACTAGGTGCTTTTTTGGCCAGCAGCTAAATGCATAGGGTGTCCCGGTTCTCTATTCGTGTTTAAAGACATGAATATAAAGATTTCTGATTCTAGGATATTTCCATAGGCATTGGACATCCAAAATAGACGGGAATAATACAACCAGATGAAACAAAAGAAGTTTCGGAAGCCGGCAAAGCTCCTGATAGCCGGATCGATACCACAGTCCTGCATATGGAATCTCTGTGTTGCATACCTAGGTGCTTTTTTGGCCAGCAGCTAAATGCATAGGGTGCCCCGGTTCTCTATTCGTGTTTAAAGACATGAATATAAAGATTTCTGATTCTAGGAGACTTCTATAGGCATTGGACATCCAAAATAGACGGGAATAATACAACCAGATGAAACAAAAGAAGTTTCGGAAGCCGGCAAAGCTCCTGATAGCCGGATCGATACCACAGTCCTGCAAATGGAATCTCTCTGTTGCATACTAGGTGCTTTTTTGGCCAGCAGCTAAATGCATAGGGTGTCCCGGTTCTCTATTCGTGTTTAAAGACATGAATATAAAGATTTCTGATTCTAGGAGACTTCTATAGGCATTGGACATCCAAAATAGACGGGAATAATACAACCAGATGAAACAAAAGAAGTTTCGGAAGCCGGCAAAGCTCCTGATAGCCGGATCGATACCACAGTCCTGCAAATGGAATCTCTCTGTTGCATACTAGGTGCTTTTTTGGCCAGCAGCTAAATGCATAGGGTGTCCCGGTTCTCTATTCGTGTTTAAAGACATGAATATAAAGATTTCTGATTCTAGCATACTTCTATAGGCATTGGACATCCAAATTGGACGGGAATAATACAACCAGATGAAACAAAACAATTTTCGGAAGCCGGCAAAGCTCCTGATAGCCGGATCGATACCACAGTCCTGCAAATGGAATCTCTCTGTTGCATACCTAGATGCTTTTTTGGCCATCACCTAAAAGCATAACAGTCTAGCAGCTCCATTTTTTGAACCCTGTGCCAGGATGTCCTCGGCAAGGTCCACAAAGCTCAACGGGTAGTGGTGCGGAAAAAACGAGCCAAAGCTTATGTCCTTCATGTGCAGAAAGATTGGTTGAAGAAAGGCCGTCTCCCGCGATTGAGAAAGCTCCGTGTTGTCCGGAAAACACGGTTCAATAGCAATTGCCGCACCCTGGACAGCTTCCTCGTGAATGCCAGCTGCATGCGGCAGATTGTGGACGCTGCCGACTTTCAGAATGCCATGAAAGCACGCTCTGTGGAAAAGAATGCCAAAGTTGAGGCTCACCTGAAAGCGTGGACGTCAAACGCAACCTTTGAGCGGGCCAGACGTGCCCTGGCAATCTTGGGTCCTGCTGCGGTTCTTTGCCGTCAAGTCGCTACGAGGGACTTCTTTAAGTGCCTGCCTTCGTGGCGAAAAGCTCAATGCAAAATTTTGGAATCCTTGGCCACTGAAGATTTTGCAGATGCGAGGCTTCGCGAGACAGGACTTTGGGGGCTTGTCGGATTTGTTTCTTCTGCAGCCAGCAATAGCCAGCTCCTTTTTTTCCTGGATACCTGCCCACGTAGCATTTTGGCTCCTCTTGACGTTAAACCCTCTCTCTCTCTAGCCACTGTCACCAAAGTATGGCTGAGCAGATGCAAGGAGATTGCAGCTTGTTGTGTCCCGGCTACTTGTTAGCTGAGTGCTTGCGCCTTCCAAAGGTGCAGATTTGCATTGGCACATTCTTGCGTGCGGCTCCAGAGTTGCCTGCTGCGCTTCCTGAAGGTGTTGTCCTGGCACCTTGCAAGCCTGGACGCCCTGCAAAGGGCACAGTCCGGCCTCCGAAACCGCCGACTGGCAGGTTCGGTGGGCAAGCTTTTCGAGATGCAGAAGCTCAGATCAAGATGCTCCAGAAAAATATGAAAGAGCCCTGCGTGCCCAAGAAAACGTTCGTGCGTTGGGCTCGTGACGTCTTGGAAAGCCAGCGTGACCCCAAAGGTGCGATGCTCAAGATGACCCCCGCTGCAATCGACACTTTGCAGTCGGCTTTGGAGGACCGAGTTTCTGTCGCTTTTGGTGCGTATATGAACCCCAATGCTTTTTTCGTGTATCCAAAAAAGCTTTTGGATAACCATCATTAACAAGCAAACCCAGATGCGTTTTGATCGGCCGCACAAAAGCTTTTAGATATTTTGTCCTCTTCTTTTTCATCATTCTGTACAGGACTATGGTGTGCAGTTGATGGTGCGTGGAAGCATTGTTGCTCACCATGCCAAAAGACAGACCGTGACTGAGAAGGATTTGGAGTGCTTGGCCAAGTTGGATTCTGCCAACAGTGCCAGCGCAATTGTCCCCAGTGAGAGTTCCAAGCCTAAGAAAAGAAAGGTTAGCAAATGAGAGCCGTGTGCTTTTTCAGCGGTAGTGGCCATGAGTGACAGGGAACTCATTGGCCGTGACTTTGTTAGCACCCTTTCAGAATGGTGCGGATTTGGCGGTTTGTTGCTGGTTTCGCAACAAGGGGTTGGCAGGCATCGCTTGTGTCAGTGAACAAAAAAGAGCGTCAGATTTTCCATCTTGTGTGTCAATAGAAGTCGTCATTGATGACCTTGCACCAGCCCTTGGAATGCAGGAGCAACTCTGGCGACACGCCAACAGAAGGTACGGGAAATCTTGGAGAAGCGTGGTGCCTGCTACCAGACTGTCGCGCACAAAGCTGCCTTTGCTTTGGATCCTCGCGTTGTCTCACTTCTTTCTGACCCCAACATGGATACCTTGGCTGGCTTTCCAGTGCGTGGGCCTTGGCAGGATGCTTTAAGCTGCACCATGTCTGAGTTCATTCCAATGTTTTTTGCAGTGGAGGCGGGCGGAGCTAGAAGAAAGAAGAAATATGAGACAGTAACTGCGGACATATGATCACAAAATTTCCAAATGCTTTTGGCGGCAAAAAATAAATGCATTGGAGCCCTGCCAGGCGGACCAGGAAGCGGCCAGACATGCCGCGGATTCGTATGTACATCGTCGCGGAGTGTTTGCTCAGATGGCCTTTCCACAATTTGGTGCTCCCAAAGCTGATGTTCTCGTTTTTTTCGCAGTGGGCAACCAAGCCACCTGCTTCGGGATATGGGCATTCACTTGGCTACCTTGGGAGGGAGTCAAGGAATGTCGGAACGCAGCTGGGCCAGATTGTCAAGGCAATGCACCCCAATCAGAAGCAATTTGTCAGCAAACTCCAAAAAAAAGTTGCTGAAACTTGCCACGAACTGGAACTTGTTGTATCCAGAAGTTTTCAATGCATGGAAGTTGCGACGTGACAAGAAAATTAAGAGAAAACGAAATACAGACTTTGTACAGTTGCCTCGCCCAGCAGGCAGAAGCCAATCTGGGCCTGAAGCGGCTCCAGAAATCCCTGTTGTAAACCCGGCTGTTGGTGACACTAGCAGCTCTAGCAGCTCAAGCTCCAGCAGCAGTAGCAGCGACTCTGAGTTGCCTGTACTGTCTGACGACGGTGAGTGATAGAAGAGACATGCCTGGAAAATCTTATGCTGCAACATCTATGGCTGTATTAATATAAATGCTTTTTGTGTCATCCAAAAAATGCATTGAGGTTCCAATTCCAAAGACATGCCATAATCCTTGGCGCGTACGGCTTGAGATTTGAGGTGCTTTTTCTTTCGAACAAATATCAATGGTACCAACATTTGCTGCATGCTTTTGTCCTAGGATAATAAAATCTTTCGGCGGTCTTCTATAAAAACACAAATCCTCTATGCATATTGCCACGATCCTTAAATGCATATCATCTAACTTTATATATTTGATGCCTATATCCTCCTGCGTGGCAAACCCGGGTGCAACTGTAATTAGCGTAATATCCCGAAAATGTCGTTGGCCCCGGCAGAAGCGGCAAGAGGTAGTAGGGGCGGACCTATTTATAGCATATTTGCTTAAATGGTTTTAAAACAACCCAAAAAAATCATCAGGAATTCTTAGTAGTTTTCCGGTTCTAACCACATCTTCAATGCATATTGTTTAAGCCCCTAAATGCATACCATATATTTTTCCACCTTAAATTATCATGAACATCCTTGCGTGCCGGCCCGCGTGCCGAACACGCGTGCGGAACGCAGCGTTCTGCGTGCTGCGTGCCGGGGCGCCTAAGACCATCAATAACCATCATTCACCACTATTATACCATCATCCACCATCAATAACCATCATTCACCACGATTATACCATCATTCACCATCAATAACCATCATGCACCACTATTATACCATCATTCACCATCAATAACCATCATGCACCACTATTATACCATCATTTGCCATCAATAACCATCATGCACCACTATTACACCATCATACACCATCAATAACAATCATGCACCACTATTATACCATCATTCACCATCAATAACAATCATGCACCACTATTATACCATCATCCACCATCAATAGCCATCATTCCCCACTATTATACCATCATTCACCATCAATAACCATCATGCACCACTATTATACCATCATTCACCATCAATAACCATCATGCACCACTATTATACCATCATTCACCATCAATAACCATCATGCACCACTATTTACCATCATCCACCATCATTCACCATCAATAACCATCATGCACCACTATTATACCATCATCCACCATCAATAACCATCATGCACCACTATTATACCATCATCCACCATCAATAACCGTCATGCACCACTACTATACCATCATTCACCATCAATAACCATCATGCACCACTATTTACCATCATCCACCATCAT